AGCTCTTTCTGGAAGGATTTGCAAGACATGCTACATGTGATAGTCTTTGACATGGAGAACCAGGGCACTCTACCCTCTGTAAAGCCTGATGTGGGCTCCTTGGAGGCAGAGCCTGAGAGAGGACTGAGGGCCCATGTGATTTATTGAAGAGTATTCTTAAGAGAAGCCAAAGAGGGAGACTGGGGAGCTGGGTAGGGAAGGTGTGAAGGTACATCTGGCCTCTGCCTAAGCCTATCGGGAGCTCTGGAACAGAAGTTGCACTCCAGGAGGTGGGGCCCCTTTAAGGTGAAGGGATTGGGGCCTGTGCACCCCTGCACCCGTTAGTCATTGGCTACAGAAGGGAGTGGGGAGCTTCTAGGCACCTCTCTCCAAGGAAGCTTCCGTCTTCAGAGGTTCACATGCACATCTTCAGAGGAGGCTGGCTGTGAGCCACTGGCCAGAGCACCCTCTGTTGCTGGGAGATGGGCACCCCGAGTCACGCACTGTGTGAGCCACTAGCCAGAGCACCCTCTGTTGCTGGGAGATGGGCACCCCGAGTCATGTACAGCGCCAATAGCATCCACTACTGGTACCAATGGAAAATGTTCTGCTGATGTGCATACATGATCTAGTGTTCAAATTCAAGTGAATTAAATTTATTCTAAAGAATTCCCCAAACAAAAGTCCTGTGACCCAAAAGAATGAAAACCAGGCCACCTTCACACCTCTTCCCTTTTGCACGGAATGAGAACAGAGCAGCGAGGCAGCATCCACAGCGCTCTGGAGGAGACGCATTTGCCCCAAGAAACCTCTGTCCCATCCGACCACTGGCCGAGCGAGCAGAGCTGGGCTTTGGGTGGGTTTCAGCCCTTGCTCAGGGTGGGGGGAGTTTTCTCTCTGCTCACAGCGCTGCTACTCCAGGCCGAGCAGCACCCAGGTTGATGGTTTTGAGGCAGCTCCCCGTTCAAAGCTGGCACTGTGTACCAGGCTATACAGAAGTACCCGGCCTCAGCCTCAGGCTGTGCCCGGTGACGGTGAGGGCAGCTCGGCCCCCGAGGATGGAGCCTGAAAAGCGGTGGGGGACGGATGCCAGGCGTTTGTCCACCTGGTATATGAGCTGCAGAGGAACTTGGCCAGGCTTCCTCAGGTACCATCCTGGAGCATTCTCAGTAGTGACAGGCCTCGTACTCACAGAGCAGGTGAGGGTGGCTGAGAGTCCAGGCATCACTGTGAGGGAGGTGTGCAGGACCTGTGCAGAAGCTCACGACGAGGACAGTGGTCCAGGACATGCTGGTGACTCTCCTGCAGACACTGCTTCCTGAGGACCTTGCAGCTGGGGCTGGACTCCTTCAACTTTAATTCCCTACCTTCTTCATCTCTTCAGTGAAGGGTGGTCTTCATGCAAATCCCCCACCAGTTTTCTCCTTGGGCCAGGGCTGAGTCCCAGCTGGGTAAACGCCCTGCTAGGTGAAGGGTGGCTGGAAAGGGGAGAGGGGTGATGAGGGCTTGTTTCTGTTTTCCTTCTTCTGGTCTCCTGTCCCCTGTCCTCCCTGAGTGTGAGGGTCATGCTTGGTGAGCACCGATAGAAAATGCAAATGCTGTCAGTTGAAAAACTTCACAGCTGGGCCCAGCTCCCCACAAACAGAGACATAGGCCCACAGTGTCCCCTGCTTCTCGCACATCCAAAAGTCTCCTTTCCTGAAAGATACTCAGGCCCGACAGAGTCAACTTTGGATCTCTGGCTGATTTCTTCTAAAACAAATCTCAGTCCTTTTTTGAACGCCTCCAAGTAAAGCTGTTTCATTTCAAGTCCAAATTGCCCTCGCTGGGTCTACCTGAGCTTGGAAGTCCTAGAACCCAGCCGGACACTGTATCAAATACCATCTGTGTCCCGTGGTGCCTTCTGACAGAAAGGGGTGCATGTGGTCATTTGGAGACTTTATTTGACCCACCAGAAGCCTGGTCATTTATGGACTAGAGGAATCAGTGAACCTGGAACTTGACGTTGAGTGTTTATAAGACTCTTTCCAATCCTCAGGGGAGCAACTGAAGGAAGGAGGGTGGAGTGGTGGGTGTGGCCCTGTTTTTTGGACTGCGTTGGATATTTTAGATAAGTCAGTGCTCTCTTCCATTCAATTAGCTGGTGGCCTCCACACTGTACTGCGGCTCAGTCAGCTTCAGGGATTTGGAACCTGAAAGGCTGAGGCACCAATCAGTCTCTGGGGATTACTTGCCTCCTGAAGGTTTGAACCCTAAATGGAACCCAAGCACTCCTCAAGAAGTGACAATGACTTTCAGTTACATGATAAGGGAATAAGAGAGGGGAAAAGCAGAGCTGTTTGCTTAATATATGTCTATATACACACAACTATATTCATAACAAAGAAAACATACTTATGATAGTTACAGCCCTCATTTCTATAACCGGTCATGTGGTCATAGCTGGTATTTATAACTACCTTCTTTTACTACCTGTTCTATATTCCTTTGCCATCAATAAGCACCTCAGTGGTTTATGGTTCCTGACCTGGTGGAGTGACCCTAAACCAAGGCAGGTCTGGCTTTTCCAATTCACTGTGAGCCATCTTCTTTGGTCTATGTTCCAGGCAACCAACCAAACTGTTAGAGCTCTTTCTAACTCCCTGATTCTGCATAAAATATCAATAAATTCAACCTGATCCAACTTTTTGCTCCTCCCACCATTATCCCACACCCTTAGCATCCATTCCCACACATGCTCTTAGGATTTCTGGCTGTATAAATTACAAGAATCAAGTAGTCTTTTTGGAGTGTAATGTACCTCCTTGTGGGTCACACTCTGTACCTCACCTTTGGAGGGACCTGCTGGGACTTGTGTCTATTTACGGATCTAGTAGCAAAGAGGGTGGTGTGAGCGGGTCTTGAGGATAATCAGCATTGCCTTGCATAGTGACTACCTCAGAGAGGTCATACCTATTCAGGTAATGCAGAGTTAATGCCCTCGGACAGAAATGGGAAGAGCTATACCACTGGGTGTGAAGAGGTTACTTCCACTGAAGAGAGGGGACCTCTTCCACTGGCAAAGAAGACTCAGAAGTGAGGGCTCAGTGTTCCCAGCTTCATCAGGGTCTCCCCACACGTCCCCATCCCGACCTGTAGGATCCCATGCTACCCAAGTCAGTGTTCTCACTTGAACAGGAGACACTTAGCAAATCTGAAAGTTTATCTTGTGTTGTACTTTAGCCAATCAAAAGATAAGGTTCTGCATTTGATTTTCAGCAATTTCAGTCCAGCTGTTACATGAGCTGAGGCTTTCCTTTGTGGCATACCTAGAAGCTCTGAAGTCATTTATAGGCCTCTTGAGCTGGGAATTAAAATCCCCAAGCTCATCTTCTTCTCTCACTACTTTGTCCAGCAACATTAGGGGCAAGCAACCAACGTCGTGATGTTCCTTCGTGTCCCAACAATGTTTGAAAGCATCGTATACAGAATCGTTTGGCTCCATGTTTCTTATAAGTGGTTGATTAGAGATAGCCAGTGCAGATATATTGCTTATGTTTATAAACAGTTCAAGACATGAACTATCAGGGCTCTCTTTACTAAGGGAACTAGAGCCATTAACATCATTAAATCTAATCAGATTAAACAGCCACTTCAGAAGAAACCTCTGAATCAAGACAGAAAACTCATCATTAAAATTCTATTTCTTTAGAATGACTCTGGGTACCCAAATCCATATTAAATCTGCTATCTGCAAGCTAGAGAGCCAGTAAAGCTGGTGTTGCAATTCAGTTTCAGTCCAAAGACTGAGAACCAGGGGAGCTGATAATGTAAATTTCTCTGTGAGGGCAGGGGAAGATGACATGAGATGTCCCCATTCAATCAGTGAGACAGAAACAGCGGTGGATTCCTACTTCCTTTGCCTTTTGTTCTACTCAGGCCTTCAGTGGGCTGTATGAGCCCAATCTCATGGGGAGGGCAATCTGTCTACTATATTGAGTCCCCCAGTTCAAATGCTAGTCTCATCCAGGAACACCCTCACAGGCACACCCAGAAATACTGTTTAATCTGGGCACCCAGTAGCCCACTCAAGTTAACCCTAAAACTAATCATCACAGTGAACATCTCTCCTAATTTGCCTGATGAGGAGGACCTTGCTAAGCACTTGTAGTGTTAACCTGGGAAAATTCTGACAAAATGGGGAAAGTTGGTCACAGTCTAGTTTTTCTGCCTAAGCTTAGGTTCACTGAGATGTTCAAACAATTCTTGGCATTGTATATGCACACCAGAAATATATGTGTGCCAGGTAGAAACTGGATTGGCTCATCATAGAAAACAGATACACTGAGGATTCTTGGAAAAGGGGGGACACACCCACCGGATATCTCTTCCCTTGAAAGAAGGAGGCATTTTGGGAAGAGCCCAGGCTGACGGCGAGGTGAGCACTGTGCAGAGCTGCCTCAGGATCAGGAGTTCATTGATCGAAAGGACTGGAAATTCTACATAAAAGAGAATTGCAACTCAAATCCCTCACTGTTCAGCTTCCTTGGACATGGTGTCAAAATGAGGCACCCTAAAAGAAAAGGAGCTTCTATCTCTTTGGCCTCAGTCCCCCAGCAACATCGGCACCGTTTCTCAGTTGCTCTTCTATCAACAACAGATGTGTAGAGGAAGAAGCCACTGAGGAGGGCCATCCTGACAAGAGAGCATGGGGGATATGGAACAGACTAAGACAATGTCATTTCTGTAGAACGAAATGCAACACGGTCTGCTCTGGTGTGGACACGAAGGCTTGAAAGGGAAGATTCTCCAGAGGGCTGTAAAGCTGCCCCAAGAATGAATCTCCTCCCCTCTCTATTACTGCAATTGGGAAGCTGGAAACAGTTGCATATTGTGGGATTAAGACACACAGGCAGAAAGGAAACGGTCATGGTCCCAAAACACTAACCAGAGACGGACTTTGCATGTTACAGTGAGAGAGGAAAAAGGCACTGAGAGGATGATTCTCCAGGAAGCTGTGTGTGAAGGATGGGGAAGCATCTTCAGAGCAACACGGAGCCTGTGAGCACAGGGCAGCTTTTGGTCTCACTTCCCCATGAACTTGAGTCACTGTGCCGAGTGCTACCACTGCTATATGAGCCACAGTAATAATCGGCCTCGTCCTCAGCCTGGAGCCCAGAGATGGTCAGGGTGGCCGTGTTGCCAGACTTGGAGCCAGAGAAGCGCTCAGGNTCGTCGTCAGCCTGGAGCCCAGAGATGGTCAGGGTGGCCGTGTTGCCAGACTTGGAGCCAGAGAAGCGCTCAGGGATTCCTGAGGGCCGTTCATTTACATAATAAATCAGGAGTTTAGGGGCTGTGCCTGGGCGCTGTTGGTACCAGGAGACATAACTAGTTCCTCCAATGTCATTGCTGCTTCCAGCACAGGAGATGGTGACCGACTTTCCAAGTGAGTCAGACACGGAGGAAGGCTGAGTCAGGGGAGACTGGGCCCAGGACCCTGAAAGAGCAAAAACACACTCTGGTGAGTTCAGTGCTGGGCCCCGGGTGAGCCTGAGGGGGAGGCAAAGGATCAGCCCAGGCGCCCCATTTCCCTTCCCTGGAGGCCTCACCTGAGCCCTGAGTGAGGAGCGTGAGGAGGAGCAGAGCCCAGGCCATAGCAGAGATGCCCCAAGAGTGCTGCCTTCTGAGACCCCAACCCTGAGCCTGGCTCCCCCAGGCCTCTCTTATCCCCACCCCTGCCTCAGGGGTGGGCGTGGCCTCCATGCAAATCTGCTTCCTGCACCTGCCTCTCCTCACCCCACCCTGACCTGGCCCTTGACCTCCCTGCTTCTGCACCACACACAGCAGAGCTCACCTGAGAGAATGACAATTGTTTGACAGGAGTCTCACTCAGGACACGCTGAGACCCTTCATAGGTGCCTAGGAGCTGGAGCCAACCCTGGGTGTCCCTGTGCTCCTATTGTGGGAATCAAGGTGGTCCTCTGCTGAGGAATACAGGGACTTCCCCTCCGAGATGCTGGACGAGGCTGAGGACAGGGTCTGAGCTTAGCTAGAAAAACCCGAGTGCCCCGTCCCCCAGGGCCCCAGGCAAAGCTGGAGCTTCTCACTGCTTATCAACCTCTTCTCCTTGCTCAACAGGTGAAATGAAGGATCACGTATCCCTTTCCCGATCTCTAGAGAGTCTGAGGCTCAGCAACATTTATTGCCATATCTAGAAGCAGAGATATTGGGATGCAACAGCTACAGGGCATCGCCCTCCGTCAACGACACCCTCAGGAGAATCTCATGGGACACACCCTTAAGGCTTCCTACAGGTCAGGGTCAACCACAGCAAGTACCTTCCCCAACTTCAGACAACGCTGCCCCCTGGTGGCCTCAGATGGTTCAACCCCAGAAGGCATCTCGGTGGGAATGGGAAAATCAGCTCTGATCTCTTGTCCTTGCCTTTGTCACTGCCATCCAGCTCAGTACCGGGTCCCTAGGTATCTCTTACATCCACCTGAGCTCATTGATCTTTGTATCCCTCTTTGTTTAAAATGGAGTGTCACCTGCCACTCAGGTAATCCAGACCCTCCCCTTAGGACCACATGCTTGTCCCTAAGCAGCCTTGTCACAGGGTTAGTGCTCCTGAGGCACTTCTTGGCCCTCTAATGAGGAAACATTAGATGTGCTATGAAATCAATTCCAGAAGTAAAAATGGGATCAAGGGAAGACAGAGTGACTTCCCACAATGTTGAAAGTCACTGTTCCCATGCAGGAGCGAGAATTCAGGAGAACTGATTACCACGGAGTAGAGACCAGCAGGAAGCGGGGTTCTTGTGTTTCAGATTCTGGGAGATGACAAGTCAGGATGGGCAAAGCGTCCAGCTCCAGGACTTGTCCTCAGACTGTGCCCAGCTGTCACAAGGGAAGCACAATATTCTTCATTGTGCCCCCTACATAGTCCATTGAGATGACCTCGCCTCAGAGCTACATGACTTCTTGAGGCAAAATCTGCTTCATCCACAGAGAGATGCTCGGCCTGGTATATTTTTCTGGAAAGAGTTGGGCTTGGAGATCAGACAAATCAGGACTGATAGAACCTGGCCAGATAGAAATGGAAATGTCCTCATGAAATGACTGGAAGTCCTATGGTTCACAATGCTCTGAGCAAACAACTTTAGAGTCATCCTTCATACCACACACACAGCACAGACATTCTGAAGATCAAAGAGGGGTGACACCCTGGTCAAGGGAGGGCAGAGATTAATGGCAGCCTGGGGACTGGGGAGAGGAAATGGGATGTGGGAGGAGGTGACGATTTTCTATTTGATACAGTTGTTTCAGGGCAGGTGCTCTGAGCATTTATGTGCTCCTCTCCTGTCAGTTAGATAATAACGTGTTTAGTGTGACGTCACAGTGCAATGGCAGTAATCAATGACCTGTTCAGAAGGGCATCACCTGCAGCTGTGGATCCAGCACACTGGACCCTTGTCTCCTGGAAAACCATGAAGAAGGCCCCTGGGCCCTTGACCTCATCCTTCCTGCAAGAAGCCAACCTCTGATCTGCTCTGGCTTCCACCTTTCCTCATCCCGTGTTCTCTTAGTAGCAGGAACAACTCAGAGGCCCCCTGCTGCAGGGTCCCCATTCCCATTCAAAATCCTTCTGTATATGTGTGCCCACGTGAGAAGGCGTGATGTAGAACTACTAAGCAAGGAGGCCACCAGAGTGAGCAAAATGACAACTTTNTAACCAAAAAACCCAAGCAAATAAATGAAAATACACAAATATTTATTCCCAGGTCCATGCTTTTAGGTCAAAATGAATATAATGATTCCTTTAAAAAATTGCAAGTAAGAAAATCAAAGATTAAATATCCAGGAGAGGTATAGTATAGAGAGAGTGCCACCTGACACAGACATTCTGTGCACATGTCAAAAGCCCCATGCTGTGACCCAGCTGGGGAAGGTCCACAGTGTCCCTGTTGCAGCCTGGATGACTAAAGCATGAAGGTACTGACTGGTTCCAGGGAAAGAAATCAGTTATGGGAAAATTTGAACAAATAACTTCAACGTGGAGAATTATAACAAAGATTGAACTTCCAGTAGGATGGCCCTGCACCCTGATTTGTCAGTGAGTGAAGTCCTTTCCAAGGCCTGGCATGTTCAGGGTTGCAGCGGGGAGAGTTCTTATATCCTGGGCTAAGGAGGTCACTGCACCAGGTCTTCTAGCGCCTAAGCCCAGCTTCGTTCAATGGTCAGAGAATTCCTGGCCTGATAGTTATGTGTATTTGTACTTAGTGATTCCTTGTAACTGTGATTACAGCTGAAAATGAGTTGGATCATCACGAAAATCACATACTTTGAGGATCCATGAGGAATGGGGGCCACATCCAACAGGTATCTTGAAGAACCAAAGAGCCATTTGGAAAGATCCCATGTGATGGGATGGCAGCTCCCGTGCAGGGAGCTTCCAGGAGAATCCTTCAGGTACTGAGTTGGGGGCAATTCTGAGAGCACAGGATCTCAAGTTTCCATCTCAAAACTTCCTTGCTTATGGGAAATATTAGGAGCACAACAGGAAAGAAAAGAAAGAAAGTAGAAAGGAAAAGAAAATGTCCTTTATTCTCATTCCCACTTCATTTGTGGAGAACCGAACCCAGGTGGATCTTCCAGGCATGGAGGCCACGGGATTTAAAATGGGGGGTCCCCAGGTGACTGTGGGAAACCTGCCCAACAGGCAGAGCGGGGGCCTCCCCTGGCTG